TAACCTATGCATACAACAATTTATTTTCAATCAAAAAACCCAATACCAAAAACCAAATCAATTCACATTTTGCAATAATGTTATTTGATAACCCAGCTTAACAAATAGTGTAATCAAATAGAAAATTTTGTTATATTCTCTAGTCCAGAAAAAATTCAGTACATTCTCTGTAAAAATCCACTCTTCATGAGTTTACCAGTTATGCAAGAGGGCATGCAGTATTGTACAAGTGTACTCAATAAGTAGCAAAAAGAGGTCATTTAGCTCATAATCTACAGCTTCTATAGGAAGGATACAGCCTTTTTTCAGTTCTGCATCATTATGTATAAGAACTACCAGAAAAATTAATTCTTTACCAAATAAAACTGAGGCTAAAAATATCAAACACAACATGAGTGCAAATATATCTTACAGAAGGCTCCAGAAATGCCATCAAGCCTGTTTCTCCATTAACTAAAGCCAGAATAAAAGATATAAGAGCAGCTGCAATTAGTATCTTTACAAGCAAATCATCAAATTGCTTCAAAACCAATTTCCAAAAAGGAGCTCCTGCATATTAAATTGATGAGATTTAGTAACAACAAGAACTACGGAATCTAGTGTGATAGAATCATGAAAACCTCAATTGGCAATAATATATGAGATGAGTTTCAAACCATTTACACTATCATTAATAGGATTTTATGAATGATCTGCAAATTACTTAGCATCCAATATAATTCAGTGAATAAAAAAATATTTTTCTATAACTAGCCAAAATTAAGTACCAAGCACTGACATTGCCATTCAGGAAGAGCAAATGAAAAGCACTAAGTTTCCTAAATAACATAATCAAACAAAAGTATAAGGCAGGTACAAACTCCATATACTTACTTTGATCTTCAGGCAGCACTGTGTAGCGGTCACCATGCCGTAAGAGAAAAGGAAAGAAATATTAGTAGGCAAACAAAAAAGATACTTAAACAAAACTAGTAAAAAAGATGCAATAGGTAAATTTCTCAAATGCTAAGATCAGTCGTGTAATCTTATTATCCTGACTGCCATCTGACACTCTATACAAATGCAAATTCATTTCAAGATAAAACCACATTCCTTGATATCTCTTCTCTTGTCCAAGTAAGAAACGGATTAAAATATACACGGCCCTACAGAAGACATACCGTTATTCCCATAAAGTCTAGCATGTTGTACTACCTGGAAAATAAGGGCGATTTAATCATTTGAAACTATTAACACCATAATCGGGCTTTAAAAAAACATGAGAACCAAGACGACAAAGAAATGAAAGGAAATTGGAGCACCTCAGCATCAGATAAACCCTTAGTCGGGTTCACTCCGAAGAAATCGAGGACCTGACAAAATTAACAACAATAATTATTGCTTTCCAGCGGAACATTCAAATATATAACTGAGCTATAGCAATCGCTGCGTGAAGAGATATGTCGATGCAGAGTTCAATAATACTGCTGCCAGAGGCAAGAATGCAAGCATGTGTGATCATAGATTTTCAACATTATTACGTTGCGTGATCATGAAAACACAATATCTCTATTACCGAAGGTCGCAAAACACAAAACATAGATAATTCACATTGCGATGTCTTCTACAATTTTAGATTAAAAATAAAGAATGTATGGTTCGAGATTTGTTAAATGAGAATTGTGAAGTCACAATGAGATTTGGTGTTTGTTGCAGCGGCAAGGAAAATGGAGAAAGCAGAACGAAATTACCTCGGGAATAGATCTGGCAAACGCGTCCTCCATTGAGGAACGAAGAATTGGATCGGAAACGAGAGCTTCGAGGCTCGGGTTTGCGTTAGACTTTACTTGAAGATTTAGAGAGAAAGAGAAAGGGAGCACGTGAGTTTCATGTCATGGCACACACACAGTCACAGTGACTCGGAGTGCTCCCCTATAACTAATTCTGATACTCTAGTTCGTTTTCGGCAACCTGGCTCGTGTCGAGATAATCCCAATTCAGCAACTCCCGGTGTCATGTGGGACAGCAAAGTCGTTAGGATAAACCAAACGTCGTATTGGGCCGGTTTCCGCCCATTGGTTTTGACATTATCCGGCCTCGTTTACAGGCAGGCTGCTTCTTCCTGCACCCCCATAAAAATTATACTTCCCAAATTTTCCCTCATTAAAAATATAATAAATATTTATACACTTCTTTACTTTAAGTATTTTTTGGATTGAATATTTCCAAATGTATTCCAAATCCAAAAAATAACTTCCGAAAAATTTAATACGAAATGTACCAAAACAATTTCCAAAATAAATATTTTCGGATTCAAATATATTTTTTGCAAAATAATAATTATGGAATACAAAAAAAAAAATTGAAATAAGTGTTTAATGTATTTTAAAATTCATAAATAACTTTTGAAATACCTATTCTGAAAAAAAAAATGTATTTTGAAATGTATTTCCCAATCCATAATGTATTTTAATGCATTTCCGCATTTAGAAATACCTTGAAAATAATTTTTGAAACACCCTTCTGATAGTATTTTTCCTATTTTTTTCTTTATTCATGTGCAACTCAAGAGTCTTACTCCTCTCTTTTACCAATTTGGGGTGGATGTGCATACATGTATTGGAGAAAATTTAGTAATAGAAAAAAAAATACGTTCCCAAAATGAAAAATCTAAAATGCATGCATCTATTTTCAATGTCTTCTTCTTTATTTAAAATCGTGATGTTAGACTCGTGTCATAATATGTTGACTTGCCTCAAAGAACAATAGGAGACATGGAGCATGGGGAGGTAATGCGAAGGAAAATAGCAAAGAGTGGGAAGATGAAATTTCAAATTAGAGAAGAAGGAGAATCGAATAAATTCAACTTATATTATTTACTCAAAAAAATAAAATGAACATTTAAAAGATTAGGGGAAAAAATTGGAATGTAGAAAATAGCAGTTTTTCAGTTAAACACCACCAACCTTCCCCTTCCATCCCTTTTTCTTTATACATACTTTAAAAAAATGGCTAATAGCATGTTTTTGATTTATATATATCGGATTATGAATTTTATTAAAAATCATTAAATTTGTGAAATATATATAACATTGAATGAATTTATATCCTAATTTAATAACTTAAGGATAATTTTTAATAAAAAAAATGAAAGTTACGCATAGTGTGTTAGAAAATGTGGTCCTGACGTCTTCATATACTCTTACCACGTTACATTAATTGTGGTTTATTTTGTTCAACAACTCCTCTCTTTTTTTTAATTGTAAGGAATATAGTTTTCATTACGCTATGATATAGAACTTTCTATTTGTATAAGCAAGTTGATAATGATAAAAAGTTGAAGTGAAAAAATTATAATAAAATGTAAAAAGCTAAAAAGAATTGAAAAACACTATTGTATGGTGACATAATTTATTTTTTTAAAATACATTAAAATTTAATAAAAAAAATTGCATACATACTTAGAAATAATTGTCGGTGAAAGTAATAAAGATATTACAATAAGTACATTGTAGAAATTTTTAAAAGAAATAACTTTAAAATATGTTTGATAATGATTAGAATGTAAAATAATAACAAAGTATATGAAAAAACTTAATTTTTTTTTAAATTTTAGCATAATTTTTAAAAGAGATGAAAGTATTTAAATGTCGTAAAAATTAGAAAAGTATGTTGAATTTCTGCATCTAGAGTTATCGTTTGATATAGAATTAATGTTAGAATTTGATGTTTAAAAAATAGTAAAAAGAAATAGTCATAAAGTTTGTAGAGTAGATTTGAAGGGTATTGGTTGGTTAGGAAGATGGTAGATAGAAATATAGAAGGTGAAAATAGTAAGAGGAAAATGTACTTTAAAAGGTTTTGTTGTGTAATGGGTGTATGAGAGTGCAATGCAAGGTTTTGTTGTTTTCATTGATTCTACGTGTTTATATTGGTGTGGATAAGGGCGAAAAACAAGAAAGGTTCAATTATTAGTTAACTGTAAGTGGGTAACGCCAAATTAGAATGGGCATGAGAAGAGGGATGAGTAGTGAAAGCAGGAGTGTTGTCTGTTTCCCAACATCTGAGTTCTTTTCCGATAGATCCATACGTTGGTTTGAGTGTGAGGAGGATGTAAAACACTTGGAATAAAAGATTGTGCTGGATATTCTATGAAAACAAATTCAATAATTGTACCAGCGAGTGTTGTTGTATATGGATCACAGTTTATGTGGGTAGCTATCAGGTGGTGGTGGGGGTGCCTACTTTGGCACCTTGACTGTTGGTTGCATTTGGATACTTGTCTATTTTTGGTGTCAAGCAGCTTAGGTTACCATATTAACCCACCCAAAGTGGTTGAGAGCTAGCCTGGCACTAGCTCAACTTAATCAAGTGGGTCACCACTCCCTACAACCCTTTTGCTTTCATATCTGCTTCCTTCCTAGTTATCACCAGTCACTTAAACTACCCTCTCTCTCTTCTGCCTTCTGCTTCTAACCCCTTTCATTGGTACAAATCCTTTGACTGTGTATTTGGGTCATTTTTAATCAGATTCATTTTTCAAATTATGTGATTCACGTGAGATCGGTTTTCAAATTATTACTGCATTTGTGGGACACAATTTCTATTTATTGTATTTCTAGGTCAATTCAAAAATGTGCTTCTATTTCAGTCTTTTTATTAATGATGTGTCTGAATTGGAGGTGTGTAACCAAACACATCGTCAAAAACTAGAAATGTTAGCATCACAAATCTTAATTGATACCGACAAAAATAAGCTACACTGAACATAAAATACGATGTTAGCAAGATTCAAACCATGATGAAGAAGGATATAGTGTTTTTATGTAATTTTGGATGATAGAAACATGGTTGGACGTTGGTTATGGAAATAAAAATCAAGGATCATATTTTCCGCTGTGATGTGTGAACTGTTGGTCAGTTTTCTGCTACTTTACATTCGAATTTAGCAACTTAATGCTTGTGTTCTGGAGACCAGAGAAATAAAAAAAAAAAATGTGACCATATTTATCAGACAGGCATGAGACTGATGGCAGCAAAGAAAATGGAATCAGAAACCTCTTAGAGTTTCTTATATTCTTTTATGTTGTTCCAAACTGCATTGGCAGTATAACACAGCACCCACTAAAAAGAACAGTAAAATTACAAAAAACAGTAACATTACAACATAAGAGACATTCCTTTTTCTTCTTTTTAAAAAAAGGAGTTCTATTTGTCATTGAACAGCATCTACTTTGATATCCCCCAGTCTTTCTTTCCACAGTAGAAGCAAAAGCCACAGGTAAAATTGTCATTTCCTTCCTTCATTGAAACCATCTAACATCAGGAGAAAAATGATGAAACAATTGACTACGAGCACGTGCTAGCTTATAGGAAGGACACAAACATAAAAACATAATGTGCAAAAGAATGGATCACCTGGTTCCTCTGAAGTTTGTTTTCCAGAACGCTCAAAGAAACTGAAGTGCTTTTGGAATTTAGATTTTCTCTGCGGTGATCGACAAGTTTAGCTCTCAAAATTAACAAAATGTGAAACCCGGAAATAAACAGAATGTGTTAGAAAGCAATATAAATGATAAAACTTCAGATTACCTTTACTTTTGTTCCCGAGAAGCATGGAGGGAAATCCACTGCATTCTCCACTGCTCCATTCCCTGAGAAACTGGCTTTCTTCTATTCAAATATATATATAAAAAAAAAGAAGTCCCATTAACCTCCTAAAACGAATTGCTACCGATGAAATTTTTACACATAAAATAATTATGCCATAACATTATATAACAATTATAACAACAATTACATTTTCCTTGTGACTTGCCTTAGCACAGTTAAGAACAGGGGAACTGGCAGTGTCATCGAGGGTTGAAGGATGCTGATTGTTACCATATTCTTTGACCTTGTTCTTCTTCTTTTTTTCTGATTCTTTGGTGTGGTGAGAAGAAGAAGAATACCAATTTACACAATTGTGTTGATCATCATCTTCATGGTAATGAGGAGGACCAGAAGAAGCATCAGAGATCATGGATAAATCTTCCTCCTCCTCCTCCTCCTCCATTGTAGCCCCCTTTCCTTCATAGTGTACTATCCCACCTCTCCTCTGGAAATAACTTTCAGAGAGAGAGGATTGGTCCAAGTAATGTGTCCAACCAGATTCATCAGCACTATTGTATTGCGAACTTGATATATCCATTTAACTCTTGTTTGTTTGAGCGATTGGCCCTTTAATGTTGTGATCAGGTGAAAGAGCGTAGTAGAGTGGTAGATAAAGGATCTGTTTTCTCTCTTTCTTGGCTCTCCTTTTTGTGGTTGTGAAGGTGGTTGCTCTCAGTTTAAGTAGAAGAGGAGGAACACTAGAGGGTGGAGAAAAAAATAATTCATTGACAAACAAAAAGAGAGAGAGAAAGAGAAACAAACGAATCACACAAGAATTCTAAACTGCTTGTCCCTTTGCTCACTCCTTTCGCCTTCTTATTTTATCTTTATGCGAATGAATCAACACTGCCAGTTGGCTTTGTGTGCGTGTGTGTACTAAAGTGTCCATCAGTGTAGACTGTAGAACGCGAGAGTGAAAGAGAGAGAGAGAGATGGTGGCAGCATTACCAATTACCATGCTGCAAACATAGTAAGTGGTGTCCTTTCAAGTTAAAAGTTAATTTTAATATGGTGTAGTCACGGCTAATGATGCCTTAATGATTAGTCTTTTGTTCCCGTTAATCGTTCAGAGTGCGTGTTTTTCAACCACCAACAAACTAATTTCTTCAGCTCTGTCTCCATTTTCTTAAATTTTTCACTGAACAGGCATTTGTCACAATCACCAACCATGCACTCGTGCACCACATAGCTTGGTAAATTAATTTCTGGGCATTTAAGGGTGGTTTTGTTTTCTTCCACTTTTTTAGTTGATATGTAAGTAGAGGATTAAACACCACTCTTGGAGTTAGACAGAGTCATGTTTCATAAAGAACAAGCAGTGGTAAGCACCGACTTGAGTGTGATGCCAACAAGAAAAAGCAATTATGCATGCTTACCGAAAAAAAGACTGCTGCTTATTTACGTGGAATATTCTTTTCAATGCTTAAATACCCTGCAGGCATCAACACGGAAAGGATTTTACCAGACAGAAACATGACTCACATTTTCACGTTTTGGACTTTCTTTTTCATATGCAAAACGCTACTAGCCCATGAGTAACAAACACTTAATTCGCTTAATAAATATGCATCTGCGGCGTCAAATTAAATGCAGAAAGTGAAAAAGGACACAGTAGAAAATATATGAAGCATGATGATGAAGATCCAAAAGATGGGGGTACTGTACATTAAGATATACCCCGCATGTGTACAACTTGCTTTTTGAGACAAAAACTTACCCTTCCCAAATGGTAGAAAATCCATATGGTACTTACAACACATGAAGGGCCCAGCGTAATAGGGTAGCTCTTACTCTATGTGTGATTTTGTACACGGAAATAATGTCATATTTGAGGAACACTGTGCTTGGGATCTGACACTTTGGCACATATATGCCTAGCTTGCCACATTGGATCATTCCATAGCTCACAGTTTTATTAAATTTAAGAGATGCTTCTGCAAAAAAAAAAAATTACAAGAAACGTGGTACAAAAATATTATTTTAATTTCAACATAATAGTTTACATTAAAAGCAAAACTTATAAAGATATTCTCAAATTAATGTGATGAAGACAAAACTTAATTGAAATAAAAATATAACAACAGATGCTCTTGCACTCTTGAAAGGAAAATGCTCTTATGTCATGTACGGATAACAGTAAAAAGTGAGAAAAACCAATTCGTGATTGACGTTGGAAACGTGGCAGTGACAATAAATTTTGCTTTTCTATATTTGTTTTGGACTTATTTGTGAATAATCAATTGAGAGTAGTCACCGAGTGGCCCTTCCTCAACGCAAGAAGCTAGTGATGAATGGGAATCTCTATTCATTTATTCAAGAAAATATTTAGTCTGTGGACAACGAAGTGTGACTTTATGCAAAGATGTCCCTCTTTTAATAGATTATGTCCTTTTGCAATTTGTGATGCATATCTGCTCTGTTAAGCACCGGGATTATCAACCTGAAATATATACAACTAAACCAGTCAACTAAGGGCTAAACCGTTTTAAAAAAACAACACCAGCATGCAAATTCACTTTTAGAATTTGGGACTCCAACGTTTATACAATCGGAACCAGACAAAGAGACATAATTGCTTTATATCGAATCCTCTTTTTCAAGCTTCCTCTCTTTCGGTTTGGTATGCCTGGTAATCATTTTCTTTTTTCGATATCGTAAGTAAATGTATTTCTGACCTCAATTTACATTCTTATGAGTTGTTGAATGTACCTTTGCTTTTCTCTCTTCTACATTCCTGTTTCGATTTGCGCACCTTTATTAATTTCGCGTTTCCAACCGCACGAGCTTTGCTATTATTGTCATTTTTTTAATTGCAAAGTCAAAGATTGCCGATTGCGAAATTGAAGTGTTTCAAGATTCCATTCCCTAGCAGCACCAACTTTCTTTACCTTTCACACCCAAGATGAAGATCAGTGTTAGTGTATGTCGAAGCGTGTCAAATTAAAATAAATTAAAAAATAAAATAAAAAGATGCAGATGATGGTTTTGTGAATTATTATGCAGACGGACGTTAACGATGGAAGAAATGTAGTTAGAGTGATGTTGTCCACGAGTTGATGACTTCAACGGACATTGGTGAATGGCAATGGCATGCGCATCTGCGAAATGTGACAGAAACAAACACTGCTTCTTCACCCTCTTCAGAGACGAGAATCAAGCCAAAAATGACAAATTCCCAACTACCCTACAACCCTAATCCAGCACGTGATTTTAAGTCTCATGCTTTTCGTTTTATTCGTCTACTCATCACCTCTCTATCTATATTTTTTTTTTACTTTGCACATTCTCAATCTATTGTCCTTTTTAGTGAACTCTTATGCTACTATTTTATTTGTTTGTCACCGGTATCTTTCAGTACAAGCTACAAACTCATATCATTCATGTTACGATAATCAATATTTCTAGCAATGGCATCAACCTATTCTAAATATAACTTTAAATTATTACTTCATAAATCAATTTTAGCAGCACATAATTATATAAAAAATCAGTTTTATAATTTATTTAAGTCTAAAATATTTTAAAATTGATATAATAATATGTTTATTTGACTTTTCCTTTTATATTATATATTATATTTCTTATTTTTGTTTATGTTTAATAAGTCTTCTAAAAAAATATTAGGAAAATAAGTTAAATCTATGTAAGAAAATTATATTAATTCCACCCATTAAAGACATAATGAGTCTTTAATAAATATTTTGAAATACCATACATATATATATATATATATATATATATATATATATATATAATTTTTGAGTGCGACATACACAAAATATACTAAAATTTTTATATGTATTAAAAAATATTTGGAAAGCCAGAGCCATCTACAACCTAAAAGGTTCCTGCTTTCACTCAAAACCTTAATTTATTATAAAATGTTAAAGTTTTTCGTTTTTATTCAATTTAAAATTATGCTTGAATTTTATTTTATTTTAAAAAAAAAACATGTTATAAGTGATATGAAGACATTACAAAAGAAGGTTTGATAAGAATTGAAAGAGGACAAAATTGTTAGATGGTTAAACTATTGGAAAGATTGAATCTGTGATAGTTTGTGGATAAAAAAATAGTGGAATCTAAGTTTGAAGTTTGAAAGAGATGAAGATTTGAGAATAGTGAGATGGTAGGCAAAGGGGAAACCAAAGAAAAAATATTCGAAATTGTCTTTTTGTGCAATAATTGTTTGGGTTTATAATGGTGAGAAGTTAGAAGGAGAAGATGAAAAAGAAGAGAAGCGGCGATCCAATTACAGCTGACCATGTTTTCCGGATGATAGATAGCGATAGTATTTGTTAGTATTTTATCCACACACTTCAATGCTCGCCATGTGATCACCCTATTTCTCAACTTCCATATTATTGTACTTCCCATCTTTTCAATCTAATAACTCACTAGTGCCACCAGTTAACAACTTAAAAACATTTTAACAAAAACATGTTATTCTTTCTCTTTTCTATTTCTACTGTCAAAGTAAGTTCCATTCTCTTCCCTTACAAAATAACTTATATCAAAATTTATGAAAGTTAAAGGAATTTTGATAGAAAGTTTTGAATGTATGTTAAGAAAGGGAGGTTTTAAATTTAGGGAAAAGGAGAATGGTAGAAGGGAATGTAGTTTTGCTCTAGTTAATATTGATGGCCATATAAAGAAAGACAAAAGGTTCACTCTATATATATATATATATGTACCTAATAACAACCTTGAGAATCTCTCCATCTTAGGTAGATTAATCCATCAACATAGTGTGTGTATGCCCCTGCCACAACCAAGACATGAAACAGTTGGTGACTGTGGCCAGCAATATCAAACTTCCCTGGCATCCACCTCTCTGGTATCCTTGCCACATATATTACTGCTCCCAAACCATAAAGAACTCCCATTAGTATCTCATACCCTGTTGTTTGCAAGGCCTCAGGTTGATGCTTGTGCAGTATGAGTTTATGTATAATGGGTGCCACACCTGAAAATCCCATTAAAAAGAAGATAGTAGCACGGTACTTCCTGAACTCAGATTTTTGGAAAAATGGGAGAAGAGAGAAGATCATGGAGGCTATCCCCATCAGTGTTATTAAGCCTAAGTAGAAGTAGCAGGAAAAAGGGTTGCACATGAATGTGTAATACACAGGAGGGTAAAATGAAGTTGCAATCAATGCAGAAATCCCGGCATAGTCAATTCTCAGCATGATGTAGGAAAGGCGCTGTGAATGGCAAGCAAAGAGGTGGCATGTGCTGCTGGCCAGCAAACAGAACATCGCCCCACCTAAGAAGGCATAGAAAGGCCACCTCGTAATCGGTTCTACCACTAAGGGGGATACCATGTTCATGTCACCTTTCAGACCATCCTGTAACAAAGTATAATTCTCATATATAAACCAACGTTAGTAGTGTACTGTAACAATTACTTAAATACAATGTATTCACACATGCTTCTTTTGCTAAAATAACATCATTCATCGCGGTTTATACAAAAAGAAATCAATGTTTTGAATGCATCAGCTAATAGGTGAACATAATCTTAAAGGAGACACTTCACAAAGAGGAAGAGGAACTTACAAGGGAAAACTGCTCAGGCAAGCACCTTCTGAGAAGTTCCACAACGGTCCAACCTGATACTGAGGAAAAGTCTAAAGAATAAAGAGATGTACTCAAGTCATTTAGCTTGAGAGTCTCATGCATGTTGGGCAGTGAAGGCAGGCATTTCAAGAGCTCTAAACGAATCTTGTTCAGATCAGCTTTCCCTATCAGTTCAGACAGATGTTGAACGGAATTGAAATCCGCAACCATTGGAGATTTTGCAGCTGTGT